AGCTGTTTTCAGGACTATAGCTCTATAATAGAGCTTGAGGTCAGGGATGGTGATGCCTCCGGACGTTGCCTTGTTGAACAGGGTTGTTTTGGCTATCCTGGGTCTTTTGTTTTTCCATACAAAATTGATTATTGTTCTTTCAAGGTCTGTGAAGAATTGTGCTGGGATTTTAATGGGGATTGCATTGAATCTGTAGATTGCTTTTGGCAGGATTGCCATTTTTACTACATTGATCCTACCTATCCAAGAGCATGGGAGATCTTTCCATTTTCTGAGGGCTTCTTTAATTTCTTTCTTTAAAGATTCAAAATTCTTACGATACAGGTCTTTCACTTGTTTGGTTAGCGTTACCCCAAGGTATTTTATGTTGTTCGTGGCAATTGTAAAGGGTGATGTTTCTCTGATTTCTCTTTCAGCCCTTTTATCATCTGTATATAGTAGGGCTACTGATTTTCTTGAGTTGATCTTGTAGCCTGCCACTTTGCTGAAGGTGTTAATCAGCTGTAAGAGTTCCCTGGTAGAGTTCTTTGGGTCATTGATGTAAACTATCATATCGTCTGCAAACAGTGAAAGTTTGACCTCTTCCTTCCCAATTTGTATCCCCTTGATCCCCCTTTGTTGTCGTATGGCAATAGCTAGAACTTCAATACCATGTTGAAAAGGTATGGAGAGAGTGGACAGCCTTGTTTTGTTCCTGATTTTAGAGGAATTGCGTTGAGTTTCTGTCCATTTAGTTTGATGTTGGCTGTTGGTTTACTGTATATAGCTTTTATTATGTTTAAGTATGTCCCTGTTATCCCAGATCTCTCCAAGACCTTTATCATGAAGGGGTGTTGGATTTTGTCAAAGGCTTTTTCAGCATCTAGTGAGATGATCATGTGATTTTTGTTTTTCAGCTTGTTTATATGGTGGATTACGTTGATGGATTTTCGTATGTTGAACCATCCCTGCATCCCTGGGATGAAACCTACTTGATCGTGGTGAATGATTGTTTTGATGTGTTCTTGGATCCGATTTGCCAGTATTTTATTGAGTATTTTTGCATCAATGTTCATGAGGGATATTGGCCTGAAGTTCTCTTTCTTAGTTGTATCTTTGTGTGGCTTGGGGATCAAGGTTATCGAAGCCTCATAGAAAGAGTTTGGCAAAGCCCCTTCTGCTTCTATTGTGTGGAACACTTTGAGAAGAATTGGTATAAGCTGTTCTTTGAATTTCTGGTAGAATTCTGCAGTGAGGCCATCTGGACCTGGGCTTTTTTGGTTGGGAGACTTTTGATGACAGCTTCTATTTCCATAGGGGTTATAGGTCTATTTAATTTGCTTATCTGTTCTTGATTTAATTTTGGCAATTGATCGCTGTCCAGGAAGTCATCCATTTCCTTTAAATTTTCGTATTTTTGGAGTACAGGTTTTCAAAATATGACCTAATGGTTCTCTGGATTTCCTCAGAGTCTGTTGTTATGTCCCCCTTTTCATTTCTAATTTTGTTAATTTCCGTGTTCACTCTCTGCTGTTTGGTAAGTTTGGACAAAGGTTTGTCTATCTTGTTGATTTTCTAAAAGAACCAACTCTTCGTTGCATTGATTCTTTATATTGTTTTCCTGGTTTCTACTTTATTGATTTCAGCCCTCAATTTGATTATTTCCTGGCGTCTACTCCTCCTGGGGGAGTTTGCTTCTTTGTGTTTTATCTTTTGACACATGTATGTTGGCTTTACACATATGTGCAGTGGTCCTCAACAAACCTGAATCCCTATCAACTGCCATGTGCACATATTTTAACTTGTCAAATTGTGTAATATGCATAACAACTATTTGCCATAAATGATGAGGAATAGGTGTCAAGGGACTTTTAAAATAGTTATAGAAATATATTGTGTGTACACCTCATTGTTTAACACTTTTGATGAACAGTCTCTCTAGTTAAATCAAATTGCCCTCCCATACTTCTTCCATTTCAATAATGAATGTTATGAGACTACATAGCTCCCTCTATCTGATATAAGTGACCCTTGAATATTTCCCAACAACTTCTGAGGACATTTAATGATTGCAAACTCTACTACCTTGCCAAATAACTTTTGAAAATGAATTGAAGTCTGTGAAAACTCTTTTTCTAATCCAATCTGTAATGCAATATATAAAGCACTCAGCAGTTTACAAGGCCTCATTTGTATCTTATCTGACATGACCTAATTGTATCTATATTTACTCTTTTGTAGTTGGGGGTCTAACAGGGCAGCAGTTTTCCTGAGTCTTCTTCTCAAAACATTTTTTTGTCTAGGTTTCCTTTTCCAACCATAATTTTTATAATTCCTTATCTTCTCCTTGGCTAAACTGTATAGAATCATCCAGACAGACTACTTTGGCTCTTAGGCCATGTTGTAGTCTTCTTTTCCTTTTCCATTGACTGGCTTTGAGCATTTAAATAACCAAACATTATTGATAACACACTGACTGGCTGGATTATCTTTTTGGTATATCCAAAGCAACTTAGGTAGCCTCTTTACTTTCCAAAGCAATTTAAGTATTTTCTTATTAATTCCAAAGCAATTCATGTAATTCGCCATTATACTTCATATATACAAGTGTGGCCACAGCATATGTAAAAAACACATAGATCTTTTTTTCATCCTTTTTCCCTATGTCATGATTTGTTTTTTGAAATGAAACTTCCTTAGTTAAAATTTCTGTGACATAACAGCTCCAGCCAATCTTTGAATTAAAACAAATGTTGAAAAATGCACTCGTGGCTTTCACCATCCTGTCATATCTAATCATCAAAATTCTGTTAAAGCTAGGCAATTTTGAGAGTATTTGAATGTGGTAAAAATAACATCAGGTCCTTTGACAAAGATTTGGAAACTATTTTGGGATTTGTCTTAGAGTGGACCAACCTGGTTTTGCAGCACCCATGCCAATCACAGTTTTACTGAACTCTATCAAATTATGTAACTTGCAATATTTTCCTTCTTTTTTCTTTGTAACACAAATATGTGTATTTGAAATGGAGGTAGAAAGTTCAATATGTCCAGCCTCCAATTGCTATTGTACCAGATAATCAGCAGCCTCCAATTTAATTTACATAAGGGCCATTGGTCAAACCAAATGGGTAGCTCTGACATCCATGTGTTTGGATTAGGTCATATGGGTGGAAGATTAGTCAAAATAGTCCCAGCTGAAAATGACACAGTCCTGTCCAATCTTCTGACATATGGGTAACAGAATTTCTTGAGTGATAATGACTGGTTGAATGGTAAAAACTTCTGTGTGCCCCACATTATCTCACCAATGGAGAAGGTTTGAGCTACACTCAGGAGCTACAGCTGTACCCAATCCTTGTAATGTGGCATTGCACAATGGTAACCAATCACTAGTAGTTAAGTTTAAGTTGAAACATGGGAAGTAGTTTACTAACTGATCTTCCTGGGAATATTTAAATGTTTTTTCAACATCAGACTTTTTGTTTCTTCGTCTTAGCACTATCACACCATAGGGCATCTTTTACTTATCTCCAAAGGGGAAAGGCAGAAATAGAAAAACATTCCAGTCCATTATTCAGAATAGACTTTTGGAGGTGATTTTTAACTAGTTCCCAATCATGAATATTAAGCCCTCTGGAGTGTAAAAGCCATGGACTTATTTTTCCAAAGTTAAAACAGAATCTTATCTGTCTTCTGCTTAATGCTGGTACTTTGCTCTTTAACAATTCTAATAACTCTTCTATAAATACAGTTTTAAAAGCTGAAGTACACATTTTCCAAATACACCCTCAGAAACACTTACTGCTGACCAGCCTCTGATGGTGATTTCTCAGCATCCCCTTTCTTCCCTGATCTTGGTGTCGGACAAAAGCCCAGAGATTTAATCTAATCCACCCTCCTAACCTCTGAGGATAATCACTCCCTTTCCTGACCCTGTTGTTGGATGAAAGCCTGGAGATTTAACTATTCAATTTTACTCCCTTTTAGAAGTTGACTTACCTGTTTTAAATTCCTAGATTTCCCAAGTCACTTTTTTGAGCCTTATTTCTTTCCCAATCTCCTTTCTTTTCTGGTTGTTCTCAAACTTCCAATTCTCTCCTAAACTTTGTGGAACCTCCATGTCATGAGCAAGTATAATGTTTCAGGTGAAACCTGGAGTTTGAAGTGAAAAATAAGACAATCCACTGTACTTTGTAAGAGGATTCTACTTCAACATAGAGAGGGAGCAGCAGGCTTACAACACACAGGAAAAATGCTAGGTGGAAAGATCTTGTTTATCTCATAAGTAGATATTGATAACAGTGGGGCATGGCCAGGGCAGTAAGCCATGTCTAAGAAATAGGATTCACTTGGACTGAAAAACAGGATGTAACTATTAGCTGACCAGCGACTCACAGAGACCCTGTGGGGCCTGGACTCAACAATATTCTGCTCCTGGGAAGCATTTAGAGATACTGTGTTGTGCACATCGACACACTAAATGTTTAGAAACACAGAAGCTCAGGTCTTAGATGATATAAACAAAGGATGAAATTATATAGTCAAGATGGTCATTATGACATTGGAAAAAATATATTTATTTTCTCAACATTCTTCAGTGATGGAGAAGACTCAATATTGCAACTCTGTTGTTTCTCCTGTCACTTGCCCTTTTAGGTGTTCAGACTTTCCATCTGCTGTTTCACATCCTTTTTGTTGAGGAGGGGTGGTGTTGGTGACAGCTCTCCAGAAGCCACTCTTGCATGATGAACACAAGTAAACTTGCATTTTGACAAAATATAGAGGATATACAGATTATTCTGAGACTTAAATTCTTCCAGGGGCACCCGGGAGCCCCCGACCCATGGGTGGTTTTGGAGGGGGCTTGTGGTGTGCCCTGCATGAGACTAGATTGCAGCTGACAAGGCTCTCTCAGTGTAGCCCTGGAGTTCTCTGTGTAGAGCAGATTCGTCTTGAACTTCTGCCTCTCTCTACCTTAGACTCCCTCTGAGTGCTGGGAGTTAAAGAATAATTTAAGGATGACCACACCTAACAAGACACCTCCTGGTTCTGATCCCAAGCAGTTGGAAAGAAGTGCGACCATAAGGGAGACCCGCTCTCAAGCTCTTTGGTCACTCTCATCTTGCAAACCAGCTTGTGAAGTGGATAAATTACCATATGACAATCTAGAAATTTACTGGCAATCTGATGGTTCTCAACCTCACATAGTTAACATCAAATTCAGAAGAAAAACAACAGTGAATACATTGTGTATTTATTCAGACTATAAACCTGATGAAAGCTACACTCCAAGCAAATTCTGAGTCAGAGTAGAAAAAATTTTCCCCACCTTCCAGAAATTTGGCAACTTGAATTGGTAAAACCAATTGGCTGGATACATGTTCCTTTAACAGACAATTATAAGAAGCCAACTCAAACATTCATGATACTGATTGCTTTTCTAGCCAATCACCAAAATGGAAGAGATATGCACATGAGACAAATTAAAATATACACACCAGTGGAAGAGAGCTCCATTGGAAAATTCCCCAGCGCACAATCATTGATTTCATGATGTATCGTTCAATACGGTGACTTGAAAATGGGACAGAAGTCAACAAGAATGTGTTTTTACATGTCATTGAATATTAGGTCAAGTATCGTTAGTGGGAAAGCATGTCCTTTTACAACTTTATATATATTTAAAACACTTTAATTCAGAGAGATAACTTTTGGGTGATACCTGTTTCTGTATACAATAAAGCTCATGTATTTTATATTGCTAAAAATAAATTTGAAGTCAATCTTTAAATTTTTCTTTATATTAAAAGAAAACTAGTTAAACTGAAAACTTCAAAATGTACATAATTTTTACTAGTATGGTAATTACTTCGTATAATGATTATTGGGTGTTTGGGAACAATACTCTGTTTACTTTGTATACCTAAAATTTTTTTAATAGCATAAGGTTAATTTTTTGCACTATGTCTAAAATTCATATATGAGTGAGTACATACTATGTTGGTCTTTTTATGACTGGGTTACCTCACTCAGGGTGGTTTCTTCTAGTTCCATCCATTTGCCTGCAAATTTCAAGATTCCATTATTTTCTTTGCTGATTAGTACTCCATTGTGAAAATTTACCACATTCTCTTTATTCATTCTTCAGTTGAGGGCATATAGACTGCTTCCATGTTCTTGCTATTACAACTAATGCTGCTATGGACATAGTTGAACAGATATCCTTGTTGTATGAATGTGCATCTTTTGGGTATATGCCTACGAGTAGACTTATTGAACCTAGTGGTAGACTAATTCCCATTTTCCTGAGGTATCTCCATACTGATTTCCAAAGTGGCTGTATGAGTTTGTATTCCCACCAGCAGTGGAAGAGTGTTCCCTTTTCTCCACATCCTCTCCAGCATAAACTATGGATTTTAGACATAGAGATAAGGATTACCAACTTACAATCCACACCGCCAGAGAATCTAGGAAACAAGTAGGACCCTAAGAGAGACATACATGGTCCCCTGGAGAAGGGGAAACAGACAAGATCTCCTGAGCTAATTGGGAAAATGGGAGGAAGGGAGAGGAAGTAAGGAGAAAGAAAAGGGAAGAAAAAGAGGGGAGAGGAGGACAGGAGGGAGCAGGAAGATTTGAGTCAGGGGAAGAATACAGCAAGAAAAGAGATACCATAATAGAGGGAGCAATTATAGGTTTATAGAGAAACCTGGCAATAGGGAAATGTTCAGATATCTACATGGAAGACCCCAACTGACAATCTAAGCAATAGTGGAGAGGCTGCCTTAAATGTCCTTCCCCTATATTGAGATTGATGACGACCTTATATGCCATCCTAGAGCCTTCATCCAGTAGCTGATGGAAGCAGAGACACCCACAGCTAAACACTAAACTGAACTCCTGGAATCCAGTTGCAGAAAGGGAGGAGTGATGCGCAAAGGGGTCAAGACCAGACTGGAAAAGCCCACAGAATCAGTTGCACAAAGGGATATCATGGGCCCCAACTGAAAGCTGGGAAACCAACATAGGACCGGTTCACACCCCCTCACTGAGCATGGTTGTCATTTAGGAGGCCTGGGCAAAATATGAGGCCTCCGGTAGTGGATCAGTATTTATCTGTAATACATGAATGGACTTTGGGAGCCCATTCCACATAGAGGTATACTCTCTCAGCCTAGACACACAGGGGAGGGCCCAGGCCCTGCTCCAAATGATATGACAGACTTTGAAGATTCCCCATGGAAAGACTCATCCTCCATGGGGAGCAGAAAGGACATTAGATAAGGGCCTGGTGGGGGGCAGGAGATGAGGAGAGACAGAGGAAACTGGAATTGTAAAACAAGCTTGTTTATAATTTAAATAAAATGATTAAAATTTTGTAGATGAAATGTAATTTCTTAATTTGTGATCCTTTGTAAATATAATATCAAAATAAACTGGTACTAGATGTTTGTTATGAACTTGTCTGTTTATGTCATCTGACCCATGCCTGTAATGTGGTATTCTAGAGGCTGGGAGAAGGATTTTGAGTTCCAGTCTAGCTTGGCCTATGCATTCAGACCCTGTATTAAAGAGACTGGGGGCTTTACCAAGAGGAGAGGCTAGTTTGATTTCTTGGATGTAATTGCCTTACCTTTCACCTTCCATGCAAAGAAATATTTGAAACCCCAGAGATGTGTGTACTCTGCCAATATCATGTTAGAAATTACCATTTAATTTGCAGTTTATCTCAGTCCATGTATTAATTATATGAATAATTTCATTCTGTGTCTAACTTTGTAACATTTTCACAGATAATATTTCCTATGAGAATTTAAAAAGAACTTTTTCTCTTTTTTGTAGAATATGGATTAAACAATGAATCCTGATTGGTTCATAACATGTTGTGCCCTGTATTTGATTGGGATGGAGTCATTAGTCTCAGGACTTCCCTTAGATTCATTGGCTTTACAAAGGTTGTTCGTGTATTGTTGGGTATATGTAAGTGTAAATCAAGAATGTTTAAATTTAATAATGTGCTTGTTTGCTTTATGCTGTTTGCTTTATGCTATTCATCTGGTTACTACTGAAAATATGGCTTCACTTTCTTTGAGATTCAAAAAAATATTTCCAGAATGCACCTTGCCTCTGACTCAGTGAAACAACAGTGGATTTTTTTTTTTTGGTTTTTCGAGACAGGGTTTCTTTGTGACTTTGGAGGCTGTCCTGGAACTCGCTTGGTAGTCCAGGCTGGTCTCGAACTCACAGAGATCCGCTTGCCTCTGCCTCCCGAGTACTGGGATTAAAGGTGTGCACCACCAACGCCTGACAACACCAGTGGATTCTAACCCAGACTTGAGATACCCGTACAGGTGATCTCAGCTCTCACATCTCAAAAGGTAGTTGTATTTCTCGCCACCTGTTTTCCCATTGCACCTCAGCACATAACTCACATAAAGAAAGAAAGAACTTCCTAAGGCTTATTCACAAATGCACACTCTCCATTCAACTTACCTCAGATTTCACAAGGGTGTTGGATTAGTAGCTAGGAAGCAATTACCATAGTCCACAGGAAGGCAGGTCTGTCTTCAGAATCCAATATATCCTGTCATGTCACTCCATGAACATGACTATAGATGGCTTAAGAATCCGTACAGGTGCAAAATATGATCACCAGACTCACAAAGTCACATCACTGACAACATAGGGCACACAGACTTTGTTCACAGCACTTAAAGTTATCCACTGGTGTTGAAGTACAGTGATGACCTACCTAGAGCTCCAATGCTCCTCTAGTCTCTCCCTCCACTTGACCTCATTTGATGCTGGTCCTCCATCAACCAAAATTTACTGTAATATTTAAAACCAAGAGCTCCGAGGATAATAGCTTTGCATTGCCAGTTCCTTGCTTTTAGGAGAGACAAATTACTAGGCTGGAATCCTTGAATTCCAGAAGACCTATCAGGCAGTGAAGATCAATTTCTTCCCAGAAGCCCCAAATCCTGTTCTCCATTACAAGCTAAACATAACCTTATCTAGGGAGTTCCCCATCTTCTAGCTAGGACTTGCTGTACTTCCTTTTGAACATTTTCTTCTTTGACAGTTTAACCAGAGGCTGAAGATCAGCCTTCTTCTGCCTCTCTCTGGACTGTCTTCCCTACAAATGCAGTTGGTGTTGCTACAACACATGTGACCTCACAGGATTCCATGGTGTCCAGGAAACAATGGAATTTTAGGGAAGTTCCTGCTGATGTCATGTGGAATGAACACGGACTCCTGCTAACCAGAATTCACGTATCCAGGAATGTCTCTTGGAACACAAATCAAAACTGCATCTCTCCTTTCGTCCAACTAAAGATTCTGCATCCTTTAGAATCTTCCACATTGGGAATTAACTCTGCAGATTACTGGCTTTCTGCATTGTACATTTGCTACATGTGTAAACATTTTTTTCTGGTTATAAGAGGAATTAGTGATTGAGTGAACCCAGGCAGCTTTGTTTCCTGTAGGAATAATAAGAGATTCAATACAGTGATGTGCAGGCTCCCCTACAGGCTCTAATTTCAGTTTCCCAAATTGTTCACATCCATGTGGTATCTAATCCAGGCCATGCATATTTGATCTGTGCTCAAGCCTTGCAACACTGTTATTTTTATCCAAATTAATATGTCTAGATGATTCGAGAAATCTTGCCATTACATTTTACTTCTCAGTATAAATTCTAGTGGATTTTAAAAGATAAGAAAAAACAAGCCAGTCCCATGTGCACTCTACCCTAGGCCATTAGTGATTTCCAGGTGTAGTTAGGAGTTAGGAGTGTCTCTTAAAGATCCAGCTAAGCAATTTGGGAGGAGGCTTAAGAATAGCCAGCTTGGTAGGAAACTGAACAAAAGCCTGTGAAGGAGAACTTATCTTTGCAAGGCAAGTAAGTGAGATTGATGGCTGATGCTGCTCTTTTACCACAGTAGCTCTCAGAATGTACTGAGAAATGTTTAGTTCAAGATGACTACTTTATATTTTCAAGTTCTCCTGGAATGTCATCATCACAACTATGCCATAACATTATGAATGTTGGGAACCAATGCCCTTCAAGGTGTCTTTGACAGACAACTTCCTGTGCTTAGACTAGACCCACTTGGTGGGCCCAACACTATAATTAGCCTGGTTCTGCACACTGTTTAAATGAGCAATAAGTCTCCAGTGACCTAAGACACCATTAAGTCCCTCTAGGAAGAATTCAAAATATTTATAACTGATTGAATTCAAGATAGAAGAGCATCCATGACTTACAACACAGGTGATGAAGGTGATCAACTCAATATGGAATATAATATATTTATTCACATACAAGATGGGAGGACTGAAAGTGTGGTAGGCTTGC